GTATGAAAATGCGAAGTTCTTCAAAAATAAGGGGGCTTGTTTTATGATTTCTTATAGACACGAATTACTAGCAATAACTAACGTAATATATTAGTCAATAGTAAGTTTTTATTAGTCTTTGTAGTAAAGTAGTATTTTTTTAAGTTTTGAAGAGAGTTTTCTCTATGAGAGTAAGAAACGTAATTTCAGAATCTTACTTGTACTTAATTTCACAAAAAAAGTAAAAGTCAAATTCAAGTGGTGGGCTTTGGCGGAATATTTATTTTTTAAACGGAGTTTAAGAATTTTACAATTATTAGCGAATAGTTAGTAATTTGTTGCAGAAATTAATTCTAATTTTGTAATTTTGCTACTTGGGATGTAGTTTTGGTTTTCGTTTTGGAAATGACGGGAATTTTTTTTTTTTTTTTTTATTTGATAGAGTAATGTCCAAGCCTTTATTTATTTATTTAAAATTTTTGAGAATGTCATTCATCTATGCAAGTTTCTTTCAAAACACTTAACGATCTGTGAAAAAAAAATGTTTTTTTTAATTTTTCTAGTTTTTTCAAATGATTAAATTTAAGTATGAAAGTTATTTCAGTTTAATTATGAAGGCATGATAATTAAGTATGAAAGTTCTTTAAAAATAAGGAGCGCTTGTTTATGATTTCTTAAAGATACGAATTACTAGCAATAGCTAACGTTATGAATTAATCAATAGTACGTTTTATTAGTTTTTATAGTATCTATGAGTGTAGCTAGTGTATAGTTATAGTTAGTATATAGAGTATAGTAGTAGTTAGATTATAGAGTAAAGTTTTCTACTTGAGTGTAGGAAATGTAATTTCAGAATCTTACTTGTAGTTAATTTCGCAAAAAATAAAAATATGGAAGTAATTTTAATGAAATATAGATATCAATGTTTTTTAACTCCTGTTCGCTGCTCTCATCAACCCCCGTAACTGCTTCCACAATTCGAGTTCGTTGGATAATTTTGTATTTTATTTTAGCTCTGTAAGCAAATAAACTTGCTTAGCTTTGTACACATATATATTGTATACACACTGTAGGAATTTAAATAAAAATATATTATTTGGTGCGTATTAAATAAAATTATTTATATATTAAAATTGATAGATGGGTTGAAATCATTTTGTATATAGTACTTCTATTTAGTCTATGCATTTGGATATAATCATGCTTAAAAATAGTTAAGATTGAATTTCATAATAATTAACTTAAGGCCGAAAATAGTGTGAAATGGTAATTAAATTAAGGGTGAAGTGATCTTTAAGGAAAGTGGTAGTGCAAAGCTTATGTGGGATAACAATAACCCAATAGGTTCAAAGGGTCACAAAATGTGAAGTTTGAACAAATTGGAATCACCAAATTTGGAAAAAGGGCGGAACTAAAATAAGTTAAAGATCAAAGATAAATAAGACAAAACAATACCAGATACAACTTAACATTTAAGATAAATGGGGTAAGCTGATGTTTCCAATATAATAATAGAAAGCATGCCCAAAACAGAAGAATTACAAAACTCACCCACCACATAGTACTTGGAAACTACATTTAAAACAGAAAATTGGATGCCTGCAAGTGACGTCATCTTGGGTATCGATTCTGACTGACTCTTTAAATGTTACATTTGTTTACGGTAGCAACGGTTCTCTCCATTCTATTTTGAGTAATCCTAGCCCATCAAGTATGAATTCAGTATGCGATCTCGTAATCAATTATCATATCATGCTATAATCTCATAACTAATTAAGAAAAATTAAGAAAATGTGTAATTAATACTTAGCGAAACAAAAGAAATGTACCATTAGTTTTGCTTTGCAACGAAAAGATGCCGACAACAAAACAAGGTAAACAGTCATAACGTTAGCAGCTGGCGCTGAGGTTGTAGATCCGAGGGTTGTGGTGGTTCAGTGGCATTCTCCTTCTCCAGTTGAGAGCATCCAATTCATAGAATTTCTCTATATACATTAATTATCTGAATAACCGAAAAAAACTAAAAACTTATGGGAGAAAACTAGATCACGCCATGAGATTTTTCTGTACAATGTGAGATCATCATTTTCAAATTATTTTCACGTTTACGGATATTCTATGGGAACATTTTATAAAAATCCGAATATAATGTTATATAATAATCTAAATGCATTTTATAATAATGAATCTTTTATAATAAGTTTATTGTAATAATTTATAGTAATATATCTTTTATAATTAGTTTATTACAATAATTTATAATAATTTATCTTTTGTAATAAGTTTATTATAATAATTTATCCTTTGAACGACTTTTTCATCAATACTTTCAAATAATGAGTTTAACGAAAGGATTTAATATTTTTTTATAACTTTAATTATATTATAACATTTTATGGTAATCAGAACAGTAAATTTAAAAAAAAAAAGAAAAAAAGATTTCTTTGAACGATTCTGTACAATCATTTTTGAAGCAATGGGAAAATGAAAGCAACTCATATTTTATCCATTCTTTTTTCCTGAAAAGAATTTTTAATTTCACTTAAAAACTCATTTGCCTTTGCTTTTGTAATATGCCAAACGTATACAGCATCGAATCTTTCTTTTTTTTTTTGTAATTTTGGTTCTGCGTAGAATTTTTAAGTTCTAGAAACACTGAATATAATTTACCCATCTCTCTTTCTGCAACCAGAATAGATATCCAAGCCACCCACGGGAATTAAACCCTTTTCCCAGTCGTTATTTGCATTAATCCATATTCATTAAGCCTCTCTGATGTTCTTTGTATTAAATGAATTGGCTACCGTCTTGCCTTTTGTGAGTGGCGAAGTTCCGGAAAATGAAATGTTTCGGGAGTAGATTATCTCCGGAAATTATGGTTTCCTGGAAAAATTGGAATTTGTAATATGATGATGTAAAATTGATTGGACGCATTGTTCTAAGTCTTTTTTACTCTCTTTCTATTTTGGAATTTTCATTAAAACATTTGCCGCAGAAGTATCGGTTATTCAATTTAACTTTCCACTTTAGCAGATTACATTTTTTTAAAGAAGAAAAAAATTAAAATAGAAATTTAAAATGGTCGTGCTTTATAAAATGTCAGATTTTTGACAGCATTTGATCTTTTGCATAGCAAATCTGATATTGGGTTTTTTGATTAAAAAGATTAGGTTTCTTTTTCGTGCCATAGAATCTCAGAATAGAAAAAAAAAAGGTTTTGTAAGATCCTTTTTTTAAAAAAAAAATAAGCTCGTATATTTCTTTTTTTTTAGGTAAATAATATTTCAAACAAAATTACAAACGTGCTGTTTTGTTCAAAACCTATCCTCGTTGCATCAAAAAGTATATTTTTTTGCGAAGAATTTCTATGAAAATATGAAGAAGTTTTTCTTTTAATCATCAGCAAGATATATGATGATGGAAAAAAATACGAATAGCATGTAGTGACTTTAAATTCTATTTTTATCTACGGAATATTTTTTATTGGTATTTCAAGCATTATTTTAATTATTTCTTTTTTCTTTTTCTTTCTTCACAGTTCAGAATCCAAAAATTTTAGAATTTTCATTTTTTTTTTTACTCTTAGTTAAGCTAGTTGGTATATATTAGTCTGCTAATTTTACTTTCGTTGATTGAAAGTAATCGTTTATTTACTGATAGGAAATAGTTAGCGGGGAAAAATAAAAAGTTACTGAAGTATTGTAATTTAATATTACATTGTAACAAATTTCGAATCAAGTTACGGTGAAAAGTACTAGCACCTTATGTGCAGCATTCGTAAAATCCATTTTTACCGCAAAATTTTATACCGTAATTTTTACATTAATATATAGGTAATTAGGGGTATTCAGTGATTTTTCAGTAATTGTTACAGTATAAAAAGATTCATCAGATAGTTTGTTCAGTAAAATTTTATTGTAAAAATGGATTTTACGGTAAAAAAAAGATTAAAGTTACAGTAAAAGTACTGGCATCCTAAGTGCCAATACATTTTATCATAATTTGATCAGGAATTTTTTACATTGTTTATAAGCATTCTTGCTATTTTTTCAGTTTGTTACGAAATAAGTACTATTCATATGGATGAATAGTACGAAAGTAGTTAAACATATCAATATAGCCATGATCTCATGTGGGTCACATATTCAATTTCAATGAAGTTTAAAATTGTATCGAAAAAATACTTTTTTATAGTAAAAAGTTGTAAGTATAGTTAAGTAAGAGCAACTTTAAATTGTCGTAGTAGGAATAAGTAAAGATTTAGTTCTCAGACTTCCTGAATGTATTTTTTTTAAAAGTTAGTATCTGACATCCCTATGTATCCAATTAAAATTAATAATGCGATTCTCTTAATTTTATAATCATTATTCATTGAGAAAAAAAAAACTCAACAGAATATGGTAAATTTTATTGGCTCTATGGGAACACCAAAAAGCTCGGTGATTTTTACCAAAGCGCCTTGGTAATTATTTTGGCAAAATTAGCAACAAAATATTATTTTATACAAATTTTATAACTTTGATAATTTATCATAATTTAAAGAATGACATAAAAACATTTATCCGATTAAATTATTTTTTACTAAATGCGTGGTAAAAAGAAATATTACTTTGAAAATCAGAGTTTCCAGTAAACCGTTACTAAGTGAACGAAACAATTACAAATGAATGGTTTAAAAACCGTATATTTTAATTTTATTGACCAGAATTGTGTTTTTTTTTTAACCAGAAATGTCACCTTCACCTTCAGATGATGTCCCTGAATTCCAAGAAACATCAGGTGATGTATTCCTGATTGATTCCAAGAATTGAATTCCAAGAATTTACTATAAACCATTACTAAGCGGAAAAATTAAAAATGGATGATTTAAACACCGTATATTTTAATTTTATTAACTAAAATTATGATTTTTTTTTCTCCAGCAGAATTGTCATTATCATACAGTTCGGTAAATTTAACAGAAAAGTGATTTATAAACCCCACCTTGTAAATAACCTCAAACACTTCACCTTTTCCTTCAGATGATGTCCCTGAATTCCAAGAAACATTCGAAGAGCAAACAATCCAACCGGGTCCATCACTGTCCTTGAAATGCGTGGCTTCTGGGAATCCTCTGCCGCAAATCGTTTGGAGACTGGACGATGCTCCGATACCAGAAAACCACCGGATAAGATTCGGAGACTATGTTACCAAGGACGGATTTGTAGTAAGCTTCGTCAACGTGAGTAACGTAAAGACTGAAGATGGCGGTGACTACAGATGTGTGGCCAATAATGGCGTCGGCGAGGTTAGCCATGAATCCCGAGTGAATGTACTGGGGCCACCTGTTGTAGTGCACCGAGCCAGGAATGTGACTGTCGTGGCTGGTGATGTCCTAGTATTAAGATGTCCTGTAGCAGGATATCCTCTGGAAAACATTCACTGGGAAAGAGGTGAGAAATAAAAGTTCTTATTTCAATAAATGTAAATATTAAACATTCAATTGTAATGATTGAAATCTGTGCATTTTCAGTTAGTGTGTTAAGGAATCGTCTTTCCTAATTAAAGACAATGGAAATACTATAGTCACAGGCCAAATTATTAGACACGCTATAAGATTCTATGTGAAATCTTAATTATCAGGTGATACTATACAGCATTATTGTTTTTACGTGACTGAAACCGGTTTGTACTTGTTTACGTTCGCGTATCAATGGGTTAAATTATACGATATGTAATGTAAATTAGAGGATATATTAGATAAATATAGAATATTTATTATATCAGGTATTATATTAGTATATTATAATAATGAGACAAAATTATTCGACAGACTGAAGTGTTTTAATAGTTACATGTTTTGCACGAGTTCATAGGCAATACTTTTATATTTAAACATGCATGCAATGGGTTTTTATTCAAGAGATTTTTTACACACATCCTATTTGTATTTATTTTCAACGTATTGCATTAAAATGTTAACTAATTGATACACGAACATGAACCAGTACAAACCGGTTTCAGCCGCGTAAAAACAATAATGCTGTATAGTATCACCTGATAATTAAGATTTTACATAGAATCTTATAGTGAGTCTGATAATATGGCCAGGAGCTGTACGTAACAAAACTTAGTTAAGCATACTGACATGACTTCACCGGGCAAGAAAATTTGTTGCTAGTGGCAAGTGGTTATTTTAAGGTCTACTTTCAGATTGTACTTTACCCTGTTGCAACTTTATTAAACTTTTCAGTAGACTACACGTCTTTTTCCTTGCCTGTTTGTTTAATAGAAATTATGCTGGATTTAATAAACATAAAAAAACTTTCCTAAGATTTCGTGAAAAAATTCCTGTCAAAATTATCTATCAGCCTATCGGAATTAGTGACGTCTTTTTTTTAATTATTTTTTTCAAGATCTTGCCATCCGTCAGAAATACAAATTACGTGCAAAAGTCGAAAACCATTTTTAAAATACAGTCAAACCCCGCTATAGTGAAGACGGGTTTATAGTGAACTCCCGGATATAGTGAACGAAATGTTAGGTCCCGTGCCTTGCTATACACGTATAATGTTATTTTTTGTGGCTATAGTGAACCAAAAAAGTGAGGAAGATGGATATAATGAACTTTTTTCTGTCTTCAACTGATTTTTTTCTTCATTTTTTTTTGTAATAATTTTGAAATTTTTACTTTAAAATAAATACATATACCGATTTTTAAAACCATCTATACAGGGGAATTTAGCGATAAGCTTCTTTTATCTCACTTTCCCATCCCTAAACAAACCAAACAGATAGTGAACCTGTAAGGTGTCAGTGGGATCAATATGAATTTTCTGTCAGGATTGCTCATCAGCTAAAGATTACTAAAAAAAAAAATTTTTTTTTTATTTTTTATTTTTTTTTTTTGTAATCAAGACGAAGAGTAATGAAAAATAACACATTTTTCGCTACTAAATAATATTTTTCAGTCATTTATTTAAATAATGTGTAATAAAAGGGAGGAGTTTGGGAACCATTAGTTAAATTGCCTGCGGAACGGATATAGTGAACCCGGTTATAGTGAACCAAAATTTCGGTCCCTTGATGGTTCACTATAGCGGGGTTTAACTGTATTTACAAATTTAATTTTTTTAATGTGTTCGAGATATTAGCTTCTCTCTCGTTCTTTAAAAATGAGAACCACATCGATGTCGTGTAAATTTCAAGTACGAAAAATTTTGGTACAACTAAATACCAACTGCTGAAAACCATCTTATTAATAATCATAATAACTAGCAGAGTATCTTTTAAATTCAAGTCTAATTGAGGGTTTAGATTGCACAAATCATATATAATGGAAATAAGATATTTTTTTTATGAGTTTTGAAAGAAATTAATTATAACGATTGGTTTTATAATATTTATAATTTCATAAGTACATCTAAAAAATTTATTTAAATTCAGTTCTTCTAATGTATAATTTATCATATTATATTAGATTTCATGCATAATTATGTAAATTATCTGTATATAATTTAATTTGTTTTGAAATGTATTCCTACCGCAATATACTTCCTTATGAAAATTATTCTATTTCTTTTTAAATATTTTCTTTTTTACTTGATTTCATGACAATTTATGTCCCAAATAAAAACAGCTTTAATGCCAACCAACCATAAATTATTTAACATTTTTTCTAAATTTATAATTTGTACTTACGCCAGCTTTTCATAATTACTTGACTTAACGGAGCCGTTTTAATTAACAAAACTGTCTTTTTACCTGTATATTAAAATACTGAACTACTCCGTTTATAAACATTGTTTTTAATATTTAATTCGAATTGTGATGTGAACTAAATTAAAAATATTCAAAGAGCTGAAATATTAATATTACGGTTGTATAGTTGATTATTTTGAAATGCACCCAGCAATAAATTATTAAATTCAACATCTAAATTAGTTTTATAACAACATATTATATTTTTACTGATTATACTGAGCAGTAATTATTAATTATTTAAAGAATAAAATATGAGTTTGCAATCTATGAATTATTCTTTTTACACGCGTTCCATTAAATATTTAATACAGAATAAAAATTTCATTAACAAAGGAGGCATAAAAGTTTGCCTAGTCTTTAATATCAAAATAGATCAAGATGATTTTTGTGTTGCGTGCCATATTTTCATTCCATGACTCAAAATCAAATTAATAAAATAGTTTATTCTATTTGAAATTAAAAGAAATGTTAGATTTTTCATTCTCGATCAAAAGAAAGACATTTTCTTTTCTTCTTGTATTTGCTACCAAAACTCGAATTGCGTGATTCTCTATTATTAAATGTTGTTCGATTATTGCCCGTCTTAACTTATGAAGGATTGTTTAGAATGGAGAAAAGATTAAATAAATTGGAAGAAAAAAATCTTTAGGTATTTTTCTTTTCATTTATCAGCGATTAAAGAAAATAGTTCCCTTTATTAAAATTGTCATATTGCGTTTCGAACGTTCTTTTTTTTTTCTTTTTTTTGTTTTTAGAATAGTTATGAAATATTTTTGTTCGAATCGAAAGAAAAAAAAACTTCTAACGATTTCTTTTTTTCTAGCGGGAGTCCGTTTGCCGTATAATCACCGTCAGAAATCACATGACAACGGAACTCTTGAAGTACATCACGTCGAGAGAGCTACGGATCAAGGTCCGTACGTTTGCGTTGCTACGAATAAAGCTGGCCAGACTGCACAAAGTACAGTGATTGTTAGAGTGCAAGGTACGGTTTATTTAGCTTATGCACTTCTTGGGGGGGGGAGGAAACCTGAAAATTTGAGGACAAAAATTAAGACTTTAAAAATTGCATTTTTCAAATTGCTTTAAAATTTAAAAAAAAATTATTCTGGCCTGACTAGAATCTGGCCAGAATTAAAGGATAGCCAAAAGTTAATTAAGCTGTCCAGACTGCACAAAGTACAGCGATTGTTAGAGTACAAGGTACGGTTTATTTAGTTTATGCACTTCTTGTGGAGGAAGGACCTGAAAATTTGAGGACAAAAATTAAAACTTATGCACTTCTTGGGGGGGGGAAGAAAACCTGAAAATTTGAGGACAAAAATTAAAACTTTAAAAATTGTATTTTTCAAGTTGCTTTAAAATAAAAATAATTATTCTGGCCTTATTAGAATCTGGTCAGAATTAAAGGATAGCCAAAAGTTAATTAAGCTGTCCAGACTGCACAAAATACAGGGATTGTTAGAGTACAAAGTGCGGTTTATTTAGTTTATGCACTTCTTGTGTGTGGGGGGGGGGCTGAAAATTTGAGGACAAAAATTAAAAGTCTAAAAATTGCGTTTTTCAAGTTGCTTTAAAATAAAAATAATTATTCTAGTCTGACTAGAATCTGGCCAGAATTAAAGGATAGCCAAAAGTTAATTAACCTGTCCAGACTGCACAAAGTACAGTGATTGTTAGAGTACAAGGTACGGTTTATTTAGTTTATGCACTTCTTGTGGGGGGGGACCTGAAAATTTGAGGACAAAAATTAAAACTTATGCACTTCTTGGGGGGGGGGGGAAAACCTGAAAATTTGAGGACAAAAATTAAAACTTTAAAAATTGCANTTTATGCACTTCTTGTGGGGGGGGGGGGCTGAAAATTTGAGGACAAGAATTAATACTTTAAAAATTGCATTTTTCAAGTTGCTTAAAAATAATAAAGAAATATTCTGGCCCGACTAGGAGCTGGCCAGAATTAAAGGATAGCCAAAAGTTTATTAATCTGGCCAGAATTAAAGGATAGCCAAAAGTTAATTAAGCTGTCCAGACTGCACAAAGTACAGGGATTGTTAGAGTAAAAGGTACGGTTTATTTAGTTTATGCACTTCTTGTGGGGGGAGGGGACCTGAAAATTTGAGGACAAATATTAATGCTTTAAAAATTGCATTTTTTCAAGTTGCTTAAAAATAATAAAGGAATATTCTGGCCCGACTGGAAGCTGGCTAGAATTGAAGGATAGCCAAAAGTTAATTAAGCTTTCCAGACTGCACAAAGTATGGTGATTGTTAGAGTACAAGGTACGGTTTATTCAGCTCATACACTTGGAAAATTTGAAGAAATAAATTGTAAAGTAAAATAAATTTGATGTGAAATTTGAAGAAAAAAAATGACCTAAATTTTACAAGATGATCACTTTGTTAATATAATGTCTCTATCCATCATTTACATATTGGCTTTTATTACCATTAATAAATCCCCGTTAAAATTCATCGTTTTAGATATTTTTTGGCGCTGAGAATTCTACTGCAAGTTGCAATTTTAAATCCTATTTGTCTAGAAAATACCATTCTAAATAAAATGAACACAATTTTGCTAGAAAAAAATCTTATTTTAAGATTGCATGATAATAATTATGATTGCTAAAAAGCAAATTTTAAAAATATTGTTCATTTTTTAAGAAATAAATTCTAAAAGCCGAATAATTATTGTAAATTTTTTATCGTATTAGGTTATAAGAAAGGCCTGAAATTTGATTAGATATATCGTGTTACCCTAATCTGTTTTCAAAGTTGAAACCTTGCATGTAAGCACATTAGCGTCTAAATAAGGTGACATAAAATAAATCTTGTCAATATTGAACCACCTTATCTGTATTTTAAACCGTAATACAGTTTAAGTTTGCCATTACCTTAGTTAAGCTGTAAATTTAAATCCTGTTTCCGTTCAAATTTAACATATTGGGTGATCTATTTCCCTAAATATGACAATATTATTCAACCTACCAAATAAAACGAACACAATTTTGTCATGAGAAATTTTATTTTAAGATTTCATATTATTCATTATAAATGCGATAAAACCGGTTTTTAAAATATTTTTCATTTTTCAGGAAACAAATCTCTAAAACCTAATTATCATTATACAATTTTTATCGTATTAGGTTATATAACATGCCTGAAATGAAATCAGGTATATCGTATAACCTAATCCTATTTTTTTTTCAATCGAAACAGTTTAAATCTAGTCAAAGTTGAACAGTATTACCTGTGCTTTAAATTTGTCGTTACCTTAGCTGAGTTGTAATTTTGAATCCTGTTTCACCTTAGCACCATATAAAAAGTTTCATCAAATTTGAACCATATAATGGCTCATTCTGTGCTTTAAACCATAAGAGAGTTTAAATTTGTCGTTACCTTAGTTAGGATGTTATTTTGAATCCTGTTTCACCTTCGCACCATCATTCACCTTAGCACCATACAAAAAGTTTAATCAAATTTGAACCATATAATGGCTCAACACGAATTCCAACTGTATACCGTTTCAGAAAATTTGAACGATATTACGTTCAACGAGAACCAAAATTTTAAGCATCGCAAGAATATTTTACTATTTATTATTACTGTAGATAACTACTTTCTAATCGTGTTTTACAGTGAAACCAGTGATCGAACCCTTCATCTTTCCCAAGTCATTAAGAGAAGGACAGAGAGCTTCGGTTCTTTGCACAGTCAGCAGTGGCGACTTACCATTCAAGATTCGATGGTTTAAAGACGGTCGTCCCATTCCCGAGAACATCGGAGTACGTTCTAACGAGGTCGCAGACTACTCATCTACACTGCTCTTCGAGTCTCTGGCACTTCATCACCGAGGAAACTACACATGTGTGGCCGAGAATGACGCCGGGACTGTCAGTCATACTGCCACAATGGTAATTCACGGTATGGTACTTCCCAATGCAATAACCAATGCTAATCTTTCTCTTTTTTTCTTAACACTCTTTTGTGTTTACCTTCTCTGTTTTATTAATATTTCTGTAATGCTTGGCTAACATTAATATGTCTTTTTTAAAATTCGTTAGTATGTTTTGGTTTGGTCATATACTTGTATCAAATGAAGAATATTTTTGACGTCGAAGGAAAGGGATTTTATTTTATTTTATAACCGTCGTTGAACAGCCGACCCAATTTCATGGGTTTAGGACTAATAATGTACAACTCCGTAGCCTTGTACTTTTGAACCCAATCCCGAAGGAAGGAATCCTACAGGATCAAGTATTGGGAGACATTTTACCTTCATGAAGGACTTTTTCATGGAACTAACCCGCGTTAGCGTTACATGAAGAGGAAGACCATGAAAACCTCCCATGGTTAGCCTGATGGCAAGGGGACTTTCTTTCTTTCTTTCCTTNGTCGAAGGAAAGGGATTTTATTTTATTTTATAACCGTCGTTGAACAGCCGACCCAATTTCATGGGTTTAGGACTAATAATGTACAACTCCGTAGCCTTGTAATTTTGAACCCAATCCCGAAGAGAACTCCAGGATCAAGTATTGGGAGACATTTTACTTTCATGGAGGACTTTTTCATGGAACTAACCCGCATTAGCGTTACATGAAGAGGAAGACCATGAAAACCTTCCACGGTTAGCTTGATGGCAAGGGGACTCTATCCCATGATCCGTCTCCCCCTGAGGATATTTCACGTCAGCACTGTGGTCAGTGCAAGCCGGATGCGGAATTCGTATCGACCAGCCATCACCGGGATCGAACCCCGATTCACCTCATCGGAAGGCAAACCCTCTATCCCCTGAGCCATCGCGGCTCAGAAGAAAGGGATTGAAAACACCAGTCATACATTTAAGGTTTGAAGAAATTAATTTTAAACACTAATTTTTTTAATGATCTAATGCTTGAGCCGTGATGGCTCAGGGGATAGAGGGTTCGCCTTCCGATGAGGTGAACCGTATTCGAATCCCGGTGATGGCTGGTCGATACAAATCAGCATCCAGCTTGCACCGACCACAATGCTGGCGTGAAATGTCCTCAGTGGTAGACGGATCATCGGTTAGAGTCCCTTTGCTGCTAGGCTAACTGTGGGAGGTTCTCGTCGTCTTCCTATCTATGTAACGCAAATGCGGGTTAATTTCTCCCAATACCTGTTCCAGGAGCTCCCTTGTTTTCTGGATTGAGTTCAAAATCACAAGGCTGCGGAGTTGAATTTTAGTAGTCATGAACCCAAAAATTGAGTTGATTGTTCAACGACGGTTATAAAATAAAATATTTAAAAAAAATGACGTAATACTTGCTTAAAGTAATATGTATTTGCTGTGATACGTTATGCAGCACTAAGTTTTGATTTAATAACCTGCTTTTATTACATATGGATGTTTCCTAGGACATGGGTTAGGCATTAAAAACACTGTTCATACATTTCCTGTTCAAAATATAAATGAAACATTGCGAAATGTTAATTCCTACTTAAATTTTTGTTTTGGACAATAGAAGTTCAAGCAAAATAAATATTTCTTTTGTCGCAAAAAATGTCTAAGTCAGTGTTTACTAATTCTTCTCGTAGCTTGTCAACAATATTTTTAATAAATGATGTTTTTTAGAAGAAACTATGGCTGAAAAATATACACTGATGAGGATATTTGCTCATAGTACCGATCAATTCTATCAATGAGGATGATATTTGCTTATAGTTCCGAATTATCGGTTCTTCCAGCATTGATGATAATATTTGCTCTTATTACCGAATAATTGGTTCCAGCATTGATGGTGATTTTTGCTCATTGTACCGAATCTGTTCCAAATTAGAAGATGATATTTGCTCTTAGCACCGAATCCACCAGCTTTTATCCAATTTATTTATTTTTGCTATTTTGCTTATAAGATCTACCAGACAAAAAAGATTAATTAAAAAAAAAGTTTTTGAAGAAATTATTTTCGTTTTCAGCTCATGCACTATTGCTATCGGGCAAAGTTAACTATCTTCACCACATGGCAGTTAATTATAACAGGTGACAATTAAGTATTTATCTGTCGATCATCTTTTTTTCATCAAAAAAGCACTCCGTTTGCATATTTTTAATAAATATGGAAATATTTTATAACTATTTTATGATATTCTGAAAATATAGATTATTTCACGCTTGTTTGTTGAATTTTTTCTTCATTTTAGAGACCAAACTTGCATTTTTTACCATATTTTATAAAATGATCCAATAAAAGTTACCTAATTAATATCAGCATATTTTAACCACTTAAACTTTTAAATTTTTTAAAAAAAATGGCCATATATTTTAAAAATTGACCACTTTTAATAAAAGAAAGCTAGAATTGACCACATGTTAGTAATAAAATTCTTTAATTAACCTACATTATTATTCGCTATATTGAACAAAAAGCTATCATTCACATAAATATAACTGACTCCTAGAAAAAATATAATATTTTTCACGTTGAAACTGAATTGGAAAATGGTTATGATTTAGACTCATTTGATCAATCAAACTAAATTTCATTAAATTACGACTTATATTAATATATTTTTAATTTATTTTTAGAATTTAGATTCAAATAAAAATATATTTTTGCTCAATTATGAAATCTTCATATACAATCCCTGCCAAAATATTAGACGCACTATAAGATTCTGTGTAAAATCTTAATTATCAAGTGATACTATACAGCTTTATTGCTTTTACGTGACTGAAACCGGTTTGCACTTGTTTTACAGTACATTATACAGTTTACAGCACACTATACAGTTTTGCGAAATGCTTGTAATTTTTTATTATTATTCAAAAGATGCAAGTTTAAAACCAGTTCACCTTTTAAAGATGGCGAATAAATACTTTTCGATAATGGAATCATTTGATGAAAGAAGAATCTTGTAATGATCTTTTAGTTAAGAAATTCCTAGAGAAATCTTTCCTCTCCAAACCTCTTAGTTCAACAATGTTTTTATTGAAAATTCTTTTTTCCTCAATTCTACTTCAGCGTCCAATAAAATTTTATCTCAAAACTTTAGAGGTAAATGGTTTTTGTTTAAACTCCCAGCTGGCAAGCAGAAAAAAAGTCATTTGGTTGATAACGTTCTCGTTCTTAAATATCCTGAGTTTAATCTCTTCAAACTACTTAATGTATTCATACGCATTCCTGTGAGGAAGAAAAAAAAAGAAAATATTATCAAATATTAGCTCCTCCACCAATAAAATTGCTGACATAACTAGTGACGTTTGAAGTCCCTGTTTAGCAATTTTAAAGCTAACAATCGCAGAATTTAAAATGAAAATTATGGGTATCGAATATTTTGTGGGAAAATTGAGTGTGCTTTGGTAAACAATTAAATTCTAACGTTTTCTTTTACTTGTCTTTCAGTGACTTTTTTCTCTGCACTTCCTGGCCAAACTATTATATGCACTATAAGATTCTATGTAAAATCTTAATTTTCAGGTGATACTATACACCTGTATTGTTTTTGCGCTGCTGAAACCGGTTAGCACCTGTTACGTTACGGTTAGCGCCTGCGTATCAATTGGTGAAATTAGACGATATATAATATAAATTTGACGATAGGATAAATTAGACGCTATATTATATAAATATAGAATATTTATTATATCAGGTATTATATTAGCATATTATAATAATTAAATTAAATTATTAGACGCACTGTAGTTTTTAAATAATGACATGTTTTGCACGAGTTTACAGGCAATATATTTATATTTATGTAATGGGTTTTTATTCAGGATATTTTTTATATACTTCCTATTTTTATTTATTTTTAACGTATTGCATTGCAATGTTAGCCAATTGATACACGAATGTAAACAAGTATAAACCTTTCTCAGCCGCGTAAAAACAATAATGTTGTATACTATCACCTGATAATTAAGATTTTACATAGAATCTTATACTGCTTGTAAGGACTGTAGATTCTTACACCTTCCTTTACTGGTGTTTTAGTGACTTTTTTTCTCTATATATATTATTGTTTGGTTTCTTCTTTAACTTATCCTTTTGCGTTTGCGTCAAATTTAGTTTCTTACTTATTTATCCTCTAAAGGCTCAGAACATATCCTTCTATCGACACCTGTCTTTGTCAATAGACTTTGCTTCTACTCTGCGAGATATTCTAGAAAGCTTAAGAAGAGACGTTATACTCCAGAAGAAAGCCGTCATGTCGAATGTTCTTTCTTCTACTTGAGCAATGTATATTTTAAAGAATGAAAAATAAAGTTTAGGTAAACGTTGAAAAAAACACGAAGTTTCAAATGGTGAAAATGTTTTCAAAACATCAAAATATGAACAAATTATTGCAGGATTATTTCCCCTCCACTTAATTCTAATTAATCCTGCTTGCAATTTGATAATTTGAGCAAATATTAGTTTCATTTAATTTGAGCAAATTTTCAAACAGCAATCAGCTTCATGGTCTACTCTAGGTCATAAAATCACTTTGCCATGAAAGATTTCTCTTGTTTTATAGCGTCTTCGTAAGCTCATCCAGAATCATGAGCTGAAAAATAGTTCAAGGCTTNGTGACACAATATTCTGGGCACGCCACCGATCACAAAGTTCAATATGAAACATATTAATAAATAAAATTATAATTCACAAAAAAAACAATTATTAGCAAAAAATTAACAATTAATGTCAAATAAACAATAACCATAAAAACAAGCTAACAGTAAATAACTAGCAAAAAAAAATTACAGTCCTGCCTAAACTAACATCTTACAACCTGATATAAGTTGTTTGTCATCTATCTAATCTTCAACAACAGGAGTCATGTTACTTTAAGTTGAATGGCGCGTATAACTGAGACATTGCGAAATATATTCTTTTTTCATAGTGAATAAAGAGTTTTGAGCTGATAGTATTTAGAAATATTATTTTTCCAACAATCACGAAGTCAAAATTATTTGACGG